AAGGATGAGAAAGTGCCTCCAGAGATGAAGAAAAAGAGGCATTGATGAAAACAGCAGATGGACATAAAGTTTCAGACAATCTCAAGCACTGAATATAGTTTTGGCTCTGCCTTTGTTATTCAGCTTGACTTGCCAGTATCCAAAGAACAGCCCTAAAGTGTTGAACCATTGGACACCATACAATGAATCCAGACATTTATCTGTTTGTGGTAGTGGAAAGGCATCGATGTGTGTCACAATAATCAGTCAGAAATGAACACAAAACCTGAACATGTCTACCTTCTTTCTAGAAGTCACTATTGGAGATAACCATGCATACTGTGAAGACTGTGTGATCCCATTCTTTAACATATGTTTTATCTCAGCATTGACCAGAGCACCCCCAGTATATATGTGATGATGAGGAATTTCTGTTTAATCCAATAAATTATCTGGTTCCACAAATATAGTGGTATTATTAACCAATTGATTACTGTGCACTTGCCATTGAGTTGAATCTAGATTGATTGTGCAATCCTCAACCAGCAACCTCAGATGTGTTGGTAGCCAAGTACTTGTTTGTGGACACAATGCAATGCCAGCTTTTGTGGAGGTGACTGCCAGCTTTTGTCACCTCCACTTTACTTCATTCTTATGATCATTCTAATGAAAAGCTAGCTAGATGAGTGCCCATAATTGCAGTTTATCACCAGCTGTGCATCCCAACCCAAACAGATTACTGGCCAAGCTAATATTGCCTGCTTTCTGGACAGGAAATAGCTCATCTCATGGATTGGGTCCATGACTGTGTTACATAGAACCAATGCACTCGACAAGTTCATAGTAAGCCATCTAACATAACCTGTCTACACAGAGGTATTATAATTCTCTCCATATTGTACATTTATGCTGCCCAGGTTTTGGTTATTTTCTATTGACACTGGATGGTTCTCCCACAGAAGCTATCTTATTCTGCTATACAGACAAATTTGAGAGCTAGTTTTTCAGTTTATCTATTTCAAAAATTTCTATACCAGAGCCTAAGTCAGCAATGATTACCTTTGTCCTGTTGCTCCCATTGTCTAAATGTAGTCATAGCTCCAATTCCCGTGTCACATCTAGCCTGTTGCCATTCAAGATAGTGAACTTATCATTTACTAGCCAGAGCTTCACTCAGAGTGCCTGATGCACAGTGACCTCTGTATCAACAAGGAATTCCATCTTTCACACTAGCATCTTGATAGACATGTATCAAGCTCAACCCAGCCCTGATAGAGTTGGGCTGATCACAACAGATTGAGATGTAAGTTGTCTGCTGCCCCACCTTGAGTCAATGACCAATCCTGATTCAGGCTATGTTAGTTATCTGGAGCAGAAGTAGGAACAACTACAGCTTGTCGCCATTATTGCATTTGTCTTGTTGTTTCCATGACTTAGAAGTCATCAGAGATGTGCTTTTTCCACCACATCTAGATTGTTATCATTCACCATAATAAAGTTAGTATTAGCTAGCTAGAGCTGTGGTTACACTCAGAGTGCCTGATACATAGTGACTTCTGTATTAACCTTTCTGCTGCACCTCCTTAGTCAGTAATCAACTCTAACCCGTGCAGAAATAGCATCAACTACAGGCCATTGTTGGTCCTCCTACATCTTCTGTGCAGTCAGGTGAATCTGATTTCTTCACATATTTTACTGCATGGCAAAGTGATTCTACTGCCCATACACAAAGCCTGTGCTTTGATCCTCTACTCTGGAATGATGACCAGTTTGAGGCATTATAACACTGGTTGCAGCATAAGTATTATGGCAGAACCAAGGCAGCTCTGCTCATTTACAAAGTAATAGTGCTGCTGTGTTGTAATTCCAGGATGTATCAGTCTTGAGTTGATTCCAAGGTTGATGTAGGGTACCCATTTATACAGAATAGTCTGGTCTAGGGACAGACACTCCATCCACTGCTATGGGCTTTTCCCCTACTGCAGTTTGATCAAAATTTCATCTTTAAACCTCATTGTGATAGATACTGCCTCACTGAGCTTGAGAATGTCTATCAATCCTAAAAGACACCACATAGCTTTACTCTGGAACCCATCTAAAAATGTTTCAACTAGGATGTCTTGGTGATCTGTAGAGGCCATTGATCAGTAAGATTTCACGTGCAACTATTATAGTCACCCAAGTACTCGGGGGACCCTGTTTTAAGTATTGTATCCAGTGGGATTGCTTGATGTTCCATCAGGTCAAAGTTCAACACAGTTTGGCAGTGATTATGTTCCAGTCCCGAAACTTCCCTTCCCTCAGGTGTTGATGAGGTCAAGGGCTAGACTCTAAACTCTGGATCAATCATTACATTGCCTCTTACAGAGTCCATCATTTTGTGCAGTAACTTGTCTGAAATACCTGATAAAATGGTGAAATACAAGATGGTATCAATGAAGTAAAAAAAGACATCAGTAAAGTAAAGAATGGAATACAATAAGACATCAGTGAAATACAGAATGATTATATCAACAAAATTTACAAAGTACAAAAGGGCATCATTGTCAAGATAAAACATTTAGAATTTGACAGAAAATGCAAAGATCAAATCAGTCACAGCTATACATCTGCCAGAGAATTCCAACTCCAAACATGATTAACTAGGCAATATGAAATATGAGAAACCGTCTGGTTTACACCTGTTACCACTACTACTGTGCCACTTATGACTGAATACCTTCATGAAGTAATCCAACTACACCGCTTCCTCACCAGAGATGAATGGCTGTTGTTTGGGTCTTCTTTTTGATTCCAGGGATATAACACACCTCCACGAAAAAGGCTGATTCTAAGATCAATCCATAATTTAAGGGAAGTTACTTCGACATCCTAAATCTTGAAACAATTTCATTGACAAGCTTCCGTGCTTTTGTTACTGCTTTCTGATTAAGAAAATTATATACGTCTGACCATTTGATGAAATATCCATTACAACCACAGTGTTCTTATTCCTATTGTTGCTTGCCTATATGATAGATGATCGAGCACATTAACAGCAACTCTCTCAACTTGTGATCCAATACAATAATGCTGTAGATGTCCATGCCATTTCCTTCATGGACGTTTTTACTCACAACAAAATATTACGTATTTCCACCATCCAATCCAGTAGAAGCATACTCTTATCTTTACAGTGTCTTCTAAACATCTAACTGGCAGCTGAAGTGATGAAGAACTTAATTCTGATTCCAGTATCTGTGGAAGTACCAATTGAAGTCATAATTCCTGTCCACTTGTATCTTTCCATTTTTAACTGTGCCTAGTATATTTTTCTCTTTTGAGCAGTACTAGATCAGTATCTGATACGAGAATCATTCTGCACCATACTTGATCCACTGAATAATCATAGTGGTACTGATGTTTTTGCAAGAGCATCTTTCAGTTGATTGTTGAATCATAATAATTCTTAATAATTTATAGATGTTTCATCTTGAATTTTGCTGTGTTGCCTTTTGTTATCTACTGCTCCCCAATTTTCACAATATTTGCTTTTTTCAGAAATATAAGATATTTAGGACAGACTATAAGTAATTCCATAGATTCATCTCGGGTGGTGTTTGATAATAAAGTTATATTCCTGAAGTATCTGTACCAATCTTGTTTTCTGGCTTATTGCATTATGAAAACTCATCAGCCATTTCTATATTGCATTATCTGTTCAAAGTATAAAATATTGGTTATAGAGGAGTGATGGAGATGGTTCAGGCTCGAATGCCACTTAGTAGCTACAAAATCACTCGAATCTGTATCTTTTGTAAGTGGGTTTTCTAATGTTTGTATGCTAATACAGGAGTAGTTGTTCATTCGTTCCTCAGTTTGCTAAATGCTTGTTCACAATCAATAGTTTATAAAAACTTGTGTGTAGGATAATCTATAATAGAGAATCATTTTATAAATAGCAATGGTAGGAATGCAGTCTGAGAAATCCTCTTGCCTCAAGAAATTTGCATAGTGTTGAACAAATCAGGATAGATTTAATTTTTGTTGGGTTTCTGTTACACTGACTATATTTTCCAGGGTACTCGCTCATTGATGGAACAATTCACATTTATTGGATTTCAGCTTAAGAGTTCTCTTTCCAGTACTTTTCTCATCTTATCACAAGCATCATTAAAGGTCTTCCCAAAGATAATTATGTCATTCAAGTAAACGAGTATAACATTAAAAGATAGTCTAGATAGAACTTATTCCATGAGTAATTCAAATGCAGTAGGTGCATTACATAACCCAAATGGTAATGCAACAAACTGACATAACCCATTTCCTGAAGTAAAGATAGTAATTTCTCAACTTGCACTTGCTAGTATCCACTCTTCAGATGCAATGTTGGAGCCATTTTGATCCAAATAAAGTATCCAAAGTAGAGAATTCGTGGCATTGGATAAACATCCTTCTTTGGGACTTCATTCACCTTTCGGTAATCCACGCAGACCCTAGTGGACCCATTCTTTTTCTTCACATGTACAATAAGTTATGCCTATATATAAGGATAAGTACTCGATTCTACCACTCCTTGTTCTTCCAAAGCTTCTATCTCTTTAAAAAACTCAACCTGTTTGGTAAGTGTGAGTGGTCTGGTTAACTGACGTATTTGAATTGAAACATGTTTTTTCTACTAAAACATTTTTTTAAAGAGAGGGGTTTGGAACTCTGATTATTGAGTTTCAACAGAAAAGTTTTTCAGTTCGTAAATAGCGTCCAAACGTCAACAATAGTCATTTACTGTCTTTTAACTGTTTTGACCAGCCTATATAGCTGTTTTAAAAGATTTTAAATTAAATAAATTCAACAGCTGTAGTCTTATTTTAGTTTATTTGATAGAGTGGGGAAACGTCAAATGATATTTTTGAAGTCGGTTTAACTTTAAGCTTTCTTGTTTCTTCTTTACAAATATTTAGTTTTGTGACGCCATTATAAACATCATAACGCTCTATACGAGATTATCGATGGATCACGTGACATTTTGGGGTTAAGAAAAAAAGTCATCGTGAGTGGTAGAGTTATAGCCTAAATATACTATTAAATGTCTTTTTAAAAGGTTCAAGTTAGAAAAGTTAATTCTGCAATCAAAATTGCATATGTAATATATACATGTAAGTTATGCTCTTTTCTTTATTGTAGTTTTCTAATTTGTACAAAATGTTTGAATCTAAAGCCAATAATTTGATTAAAAGCAAAGGAGTTCTTTAATTTACACTCGGTTACTGACTTTTTTTAAATTTTATTAATTGATAACGTATTGTAGACTAGTACTAGTAGTATCACTATTAATAGTATTAGTAGTAAATTACTGATAGTGATACTAATAGTATAACTCGAATTATAATATACTTTATAATAATAGTATTAATAATGTAGTTTACTATTAGCTACGTAATATTTACTTAATATTAATATCATGACAAGGAACTTAAGTTAAAAGTCATGGACTATAAATATAAATCATAATATAAGTATAATCTAAGCTATACAACTTAACTATACTATAGCCAAGCTAATACTATAATATTAATATTAATAAGTAATTGTAGTACCCAAATATTATAACTACTAATGTACTACTAGTGCTGTGCTAACTTGTGACAAAACTAAATTTATTCAATATTCAACTTTCAAGAAACCCATCAAACAACGTATTTGGTCCTAAACCAAGTTAAACATAGTCTTTTAGTTTCATATTCATATTACATTCGAACAAACCTCAAAATAATTCAAACTACATTGTCAGACAAACCATACCATAAGTTTGTTACTCTAAAAAGAAACAAAAACAATATATATTAAAGATCAAAAGCTTTATCCTTTTATATTTGATATTTAGGCTTGAATTTATAACCT